CTTTGCGTAGTCAACTGTAAAAACGGAAAATAGGTTACAATTCAAATTGACAATTCAAATTGATGCGTAAGAAATTAGCAAGAGCGTTTTAATGATAAAAACTTGACAAACGCCTTGAAATACATGATCTGAGCAATGTTTCGAGGTGTGGTAACTAGTATAAGGGGAATAATTGACTCCAGGCCATTGAATTATTAGAAAAACAATAACTCCGCTTCGCGTCATGACCGCATTACCACCTCAGGTGTGCATTATTTTTCTAATAATTAAACGGCCTGTCGTCAATAATTCCTTACATACAGATCAGCCACAAGATTAAAAGCAGGTCCCATTCATGCTGTGAAAACAGCTCTGATGCATTGAGCCATGGACTCCACAAGTCTTCTTGTTTAACTTTGCAAAATTGGCATGCTGTGATTACAACTTTTATAGTAGTCTCCAATATAAATTTATAGAAAGTACATCCTCCAGCGTATATAAGTAAGAGCATTTTGACACTTTTTATTTAACCATCATATCACAAACTTACATCAAAATATTTAATTTAGGATGTCTTTTTTTCCCCCCACATGTTCTATTTTGGGGATACTCACATACCTTGAGTGTCTCACTACTGCAAACACCCCATATTTGTCTTCTGCTACTGTTGTCAATTACACGTTATAGCTTTTCCCCTACTCCAACCCATAATCCTATCCATAATCCAACCTGCAATACTATCCCTAATCTAACCCATAATCAAATCCCTAATCCTATCCATAATCAAATCCCTAATCCTATCCATAATCAAATCCCTAATCCTATCCATAATCCTATCCATAATCCAGCCCATAATCCTATCCCTAATTCTATCCCTAATCCTATCCATAATCCCATCCCTAATCCAATCCATAATCCCAATTCTAATCCTACCCCAGAGAGATCTCCCTCTTTTGCTGCAGCTCCTACACACCGTGATCGGCACTGGGCAGAGTGAGAGCATTGTGGTCATCAATTGGTAAATGTTTATAAATCAGACTGGATGTGTAGGTTACTTAATCCTTTTTTTTATTTATTTTTTTTTATTTAATTTTAATTTACAATTTTGTACTGCAGAAGGTTTTGTAAAACATGCAACAAGATAGAAACACTTATACCAGTTTAGACACAAAGTAATCACTCTACAGCAGTGTACAAACATAGAAATTCATAAAATGTAAAAACAAATCAGGGTTGGTTATCTGTGTTGGAAAGTAACAGCATGAGGAGGTCAGCACAGGGTTGGCGTATTGGGACAGGAGAGCTAAAAATAAAATAATTAAAAAATAATAAATAAGGGCAAGTTATGGACCATAGTTCGCAGGCAAGCTTTTCCAGTACTTCTTCGTCTTCATTGTAACTGTCAAGGGTATAATAATTGTGGATCTTACGGTCACTGGGGATATACAGGCCATTATTTTCTTGTTAGCTAGCTTCTTGTCTTAAAAACAACCCATCATTAGCCTCACCAAGGCGTTGTGAGAATTGACTGAGCTCACTGTATGACAGCTGTCACACACTGAAGATTTTAATTACATTTTTGTTTCCACCTGCTCACTTTTTAAAGCGGTCTACAAGCCACCAGCCTAACCTGCATCATCACTATAACCTGACAGCAAGGCTTGCTCTGTCTGCTAATTTCTTGTTAACACAATATTATTTACAGTTTACGATCTGTAGAGCACTAAATATTGATTTCGGGTAGCTATGTGACGGTGCTCAAATTATAAATGAAATAAGGGATGTTTGGTCACAATAGAGTTGTCCTAGTACTATGGTTAAAGTAGGAATGGCTTCCTCTAGAGATGTATCTGAATGCATGACATGCAATGGTGCAAAACAGTTTGGAGTTGTTGAATTTGGTTAGAATCAGAGATAACGATAAGGGCAGATGACTCTACAGCCATTTAGTAAGTCGAGCTGGAGTGGGTAAGAGAGTTGAATGTGTTTTACCATCTTTCAATTTGAAGAGAAATAGGAGGCAGCCAAAAACCTAACATTTTATAGATCGGTTTGGCGAAGATGACGTGGTAGGCATATTTTTTTAATGTCTGCCAGTTCAATAGTTTGTAAAAGGTTCTTTTTATTTCATTTTTGAGCAGTTTAAAAAAAAAAAAAAGTACTGTATGAGCAGAAGAAAAAAACAAAACACATAATTTTTTTATTAACCCCTTAAGGACCAAACTTCTGGAATAAAAGGGAATCATGACATGTCACATGTCATGTGTCCTTAAGGGGTTAAAGGATATCAATTTTTTTTTAAATAAAAAAGGTATATATGTACATTAATGCACTACGGAGAAGAATAGTTAAGAAATTACAACACTTGTAGTTTATTATTAATGGCATTATTACAGTTTACCTGGTTATTTTTTACTTGATAAAGATGTCTGATACCATCCACTTTATGTGAGCTTATTTTTAGGGCATACGTGTATTAGAACAAGGATTACTGTATTAACTTTTAAAGTTGAAAACAATAATGTAGTTATAGGGCATCATCCTATAGCTTCATGGAGATTAATGAATGGTTTGAGCTCATAGATGGAAACCTGTAATTATGGAAATTAACTGAGACCCATTCTAATACAGTAGAAAGATGTATATGAAAAGTAAATGAGTACAAATGAGCATAACTATTCTATGACAGGTGGAGAGATGCGAAGGTGTATTGGAAAGTGCATGTTACTCATTTTGAGAGCCCAGACATGTGTACTAAGTTTATTGTGGTTTCTTTATGTACAAGGCCGAACTAGAGACCTGACCGCCATTTCTTGTCAACCAAGAAATCTGTGCCTTATAAGGGATGCAAAACCTCTGTGGTGCTGCAGATTCTGAAAGTAGCAAAGGTGGTTATGCCACTTTTTTGGAAAAGGGGTTGTGTCACTTTGTTAAAGTCTTGGTCTAATCTGGTGGTGAAAATACACACACAAAATCTGACTGCAGATTCCCAAACTCGTAATGCACAATGGTTCTATTGATTGAATTAACATCCTCTGATAGCTGCAGACATGCTCTCCTTTTATTGTGGGGATAGGGTTCTGTTTTGCACTTCACTCATGGAGGAATGGTGCTGCTTGTGTGCATGGTTCCCCCCTTCATCTTGTGGTGCTTCTTGCTCACACTCCTTTTGGGACACTAAAATCTCCCTTTCCCTTTCCTTGATCCCTTACCTTCACCTTTTTCTATCTATCTATCTATCTATCTATCTCTTCACTTGATCTCCTCTTTCCCATTTCTTATCCAGGTAGCCCACATATGGACCCTTTTCTTCACGTGCGCGTCAATCTTTCCTAGTGCTCTTGGGTTCTTTTGTAAGGTTCTCCTCAGGTATTTTAAACTTTGCATACTGTTGATCTGGGCCTCGAGAGGGAAGGAACTGGGTTTGTCCACCACACTCTTTAATATGGTTCGACGCCATACCTAGACTTGGTAAAGATTTAGTTGAACCATGTAAGCTTTTCTGGGCTTTTTGGGGATTAGATTTTTCATTTTATTATTTTTTAAAAAAATTTGTATTCTCTTTTCAAGAGCTTGACCAAATATATCGGGCTGTTCCCATTAGGTTGTCTGTATATAATGTGTTGCATCTTGCTAGTTCTGCAATCTATATATGTCCCAAATTTGTTTAGTAATATTTTGCTGATGTTATTTCAACATTGTGTGTAATTATATTGTGATTTAGCTTAATCCGACAATGCTCTTTTAATAAAACCATATTGACTACAAACTAGAGACCTCAACATTTCAGCTTTCGTATTTTAAATTTTACCTGGTTGGTTTGCAAGACCTATATTTTATTTGGGGCACATCATCAGTTAAAAGAATCAATAAATTACATTTTCTTTACTTTATAACCATGGATTGTGTTTTTTATTTTTTTTTTGTAATGTATAATATTATAATACAGTGGGACCTCAGTTTACAAACGCCTCGTTTAACGTAATTTTCGGTTTATAAATGAAAATCCATTGAAAGTAATGCCTCGGTTTACAAATGTTTTTCCCAATACAAAGCAAGTTTCCCCAGAATGCATTGCACCTGGAAGGTTTATAGCACCGCCCCCTGCATGCTGGAGCCTGTGGGTAGCACGTGGCGTCGAGTGTGGAGGTGTTGGAGCGGCTTTTGCATCGAGTTTTGGAGCCATTCTGGAATTTGTTTGCAGTAGTTTTGGGACTTTTTGGTGCATTTCTCAGGCAGTGGAAAGGTAGGGAGCTGAGCTTCGTTGTTTGCATGGCTTTTATTGTGTGTTCTGCATTGTGGGTTGGTTTCCATGCCAGCTCATTTTGACTTTTTTCTGACCTCCAGAACGGATTAATTGGTTTTCAATGCATTCCTATGGGAAACCACGTTTTGGTTTAAACATTTTTTGCAATAAGAAACGTCCCGGAGAAAGCATTAAATTCGTAAACCGAGGTCCCACTGTATATATATATATATATAAATTTATTTATTTTTATGCAGGGACTCTATAGTGTTGGGAATAGGGAATAAAGATTCCTATTAACCTTGAATTCTCAGTTTACTAAATAACCCTGAGAGTGATGTAATTTTGAGTGCTAACCAGATATAGCCACAGCTGATTTTATTTAGTTTGTTCCTCCCCCGCTGCTTAAAGACAGCTATTATTACATCACGAGTCTTTAAGGACTTATGGTTTTTTTTGCAAGTCATGTAATTGTGGCAAACCTAGCCACTTTAAGACTTATTGCATAACATCAGAAGGTTGTCTGCTTTTATTGTGTATAGGAATGTATTTGTGTATGTTGAAATAAAGAGCATTCGTATGCTAATGGCCAAAAGCCGCTAGCATTCCTATGGTAGTTTCACGAACAGTGACTTCAAACACTGTTCGTGAAATGAATAAGGTACCGAACGGGAGCCCACACGCAGAGGGTCGTGTGGCGCACATTAACTGATTGTAACATTGCAAAAGAAAAGATAGGAAAGGCAAGAAAGGGGGAGCGGTGGCCCTGTATGTGAAGGATAGCATAAAATCTAGCCTAATAAAAGTTAGTGAGGCAAACATGGAGTCCGTTTGGGTTACTTTAGAATTTGGTAATCACACAGTAACTCGTGGAGGTGTGATTTATAGGCCCCCAGGACAAATTGAAGAGTTAGATAATCTACTAGTTGAGGAAATAGCTAAAATGACAATGAAGGGGGAAGTTATCATCATGGGTGACTTTAATCTTCTTGATGTAAATTGGAAAACAAAATTAGCTACTTGTGCCAGGAGCACACATATTCTAAACTCCCTACTGGGATTGTCTCTAAAACAAATTGTTGAGGAGCCAACTCGTAAAGAGGCCATACTAGATTTATGTTACCAAATGGAGATTTGGTATCAGATATTACTGTAGGTGAAAGTTTAGGATCCAGTGATCATCAGTCAGTGTGTTTTTATATAAGAACAGTGACTGAGTCACACCACACAAAAACAAAAGAATTAGACTTTAGAAAAACAGACTTTTCTAAAATTAGAATATGTGTAGAGGAGTCATTATCAGAATGGAGCAATTTAAATGGAGTCCAAGAGAAATGGGATTATTTAAAAGTTGCACTATTGAAGGCAACAGAAAATTGCATTAGGCTTGTCAGTAAAAGCAAAAAATTCAAGAAACCACTGTGGTACTCCGCAGATGTGGCCAAAATAGTTAAAAACAAAAAGTTAGCATTATAAAAAAACCCAGAGAATCTATAAGATTAGGCAGAAAGAGGCTAAGCAAGTTATAAGAGCTTCCAAATCACACACAGAAGAGAAAATAGCACAGTCAGTAAAAAAGGGGGACAAAATATTTTTTAGATACATAAATGAGAAAAGAAAAGTAAAACAAGGATTAGTTAGATTAAAAACAAAAGAAGGAAGGTATGTAGAAGAGGATAAAGGTCTAGCTGACTGCCTCAATGAATATTTTTGTTCAGTATTTGCAGATGAAAATGAAGGAAAGGGACCTCAGTTGAGAAAAAGGATAAATGAGTCATTTATTACACGTAAGTTTACAGAGGAAGAGGTTCTATTTCAACTGTCAAAAGTAAAGACAAATAAGTCAATGGGACCTGATGGAATACACCCAAAGCTATTAAAAGAGCTTAGTGGTGTACTAGCAAAACCATTAACAGATTTATTTAACCAATCATTGTTAACAGGAGTAGTCCCAGAAGATTGGAAGTTAGCGAATGTTGTGCCCATTTACAAGAAAGGTAATAGGGAGGAGTCGGGCAACTATAGGCCAGTAAGCCTTACTTCAGTAGTGGGGAAAGTGATGGAAACCATGTTAAAGGATAGGATTGTTGAACATCTAAAACACATGGATTTCAAGATCAGAGACAACATGGGTTTACTTCAGGGAGATCATGCCAAACTAATCTTATTGATTTTTTTGATTGGGTAACTAAAATTATAGATCAGGGTGGTGCAGTAGACATTGCTTACCTAGATTTCAGTAAGGCTTTTGACACTGTTCCACATAGAAGGCTTATCAATAAACTGCAATCTTTAAGTTTGGATTCCAATATTGTTGAATGGGTAAGGCAGTGGCTGAGTGACAGGCAACAGAGGGTTGTAGTTAATGGAATATATTCGAAGCTTGGACTTGTCACCAGTGGGGTACCTCAGGGATCTGTACTTGGACCCATTCTCTTTAATATTTTTATTAGTGATATTGCAGAAGGTCTTTATGGTAAGGTATGTCTTTTTGCTAATGATACTAAGATATGTAACAGGGTTGATGTTCCAGGAGGGATAAGCCAAATGGCAAATGATTTAGGTATACTAGAAAAATGGTCAGAATTGTGGCAACTGACATTTAATGTGGATAAGTGCAAGATAATGCATCTTGGACGTAAAAACCCAAGGGCAGAGTACAGAATATTTGATAGAGTCCTAACCTCAACATATGAGGAAAGGGATTTAGGGGTGATTATTTCTGATGACTTAAAGGTAGGCAGACAATGTAATAGAGCAGCAGGAAATGTTAGCAGAATGCTTGGTTGTATAGGGAGAGGTATTAGCAGTAGAAAGAGGGAAGAGCTCATGCCATTGTACAGAACACTGGTGAGACCTCACTTGGAGTATTGTACACAGTACTGGAGACCGTATCTTCAGAAGGATATTGATACCTTAGAGAGGGTTCAGAGAAGGGCTACTAAACTGGTTCATGGATTGCGGGATAAAACTTACCAGGAAAGGTTAAAGGATCTTAACATGTATAGCTTGGAGGAAAGACGAGACAGGGGGGATATGATAGAAACATTTAAATATATAAAGGGAATCAACACAGTAAAGGAGGAGACTATATTTAAAAGAAGAAAAACTACCACAACAAGAGGACATAGTCTTAAATTAGAGGGACAAAGGTTTAAAAATAATATCAGGAAGTATTACTTTACTGAGAGGGTAGTGGATGCATGGAATAGCCTTCCAGCTGAAGTGGTAGAGGTTAACACAGTAAAGGAGTTTAAGCATGCGTGGGATAGGCATAAGGCTATCCTAACTATAAGATAAGGCCAGGGACTAATGAAAGTATTTAGAAAATTGGGTAGATGGGCCGAATGGTTCTTATCTGCCGTCACATTCTATGTTTCTATGTAACACGCGGCGGTCGGCCATCTTGGATCCTTTGTTGGCGCAGCGGTGTTTGGTCGTCGAGCGCCTGGAACTAAAATCGGCTACTCGACGGTGCAAACACCACTGGACTTCCAGGCCGTTCGGGAGCCCCGGTCTTTCGGTATTTGGGTTCCCAATAGGTATTCGGTACTTTTAGGGGAATTTTATATAAAAGTATGTTTCATGCGGCGTTCGGTTATTTATGCTGGGATCTGAGCTGTACTTTCACGAAGTGTGCGCTCAGACCCCAGCTATCTACCGAACGGTCATTTATTACAATCCCACGAATAATGTTAAAGCTATAAATTTTTATGTTAAAACCCGGTTCTGCTGTACGGAGGGATAATCCACTTAACAGGATATTCTAGTGGGAGTATTCCTCACGTACAGCAGTGCATGGTGGGAGAAATGCTCTGTATATTCAGTTCCCCATGTGGTCCTCTACTGTAATACCCCTGTGGGGAATCACATAAATACTGGAGCTTGTGAATAAACTAGTCAGTTGACTCCCAGAACTGTGTTTCGTCCGGTTACTGTGGGAATTGGGATATTGCCTACTTTTCCAGCTCTTTACTTTGGATTACCTTCTATACCAGCGGAGATCTTGGGATTTAATATTGCAGCTCCGCTACAGTAATGATACATTACTTAAGTAATTAATTGGTTCATGAGAGGTGATGTATCAGGAATGAATTGAGTAATTCCTAGTTATGGTTGCGTTAAGTTGATATCCATGCAATGGCTAGATATCTACATCAATAGATGTTCAATAGTACTCTTGGGTATTAATAAAGATTTTACTTATTAATCCGTACATTAAAACAGTGCTGTTGGGTATTAACAAAGTGTAATTATTAATCTGTGTCATAAATCAGAACTTTAAATGTATATCCAAGCTTCAATTTTTTTTAGCATTATCCACTGTTCATACTTGATTAATTTCAATACGACATTGTCCCTTTTTTGCATAGTTTGTACAGGTATTACTTTTAGTATATGTAAATTCTTTACCTTCCGACAGTCTGAGCATGTCAAACATGGTAGCCCCTAATATTTGTAGCTTCAAGATTATTCCATGTTCCTGCTCTATGATGTTGTGTTGCTGAATGAGAAGGTGGGGCTTATGATGGATACAGGTGAGCAAGCCTATATTGACCTCTCCTGGCCAAAAAACCCTTACACCAGCCCATACTTATTTGATATGTTTGTCTTCCTAACCTTATTTTAAAAGTTAGGCAATTGGTAATTATCACTATTTTTCTACTAAGAAAGTATAAAGTGTAGAAGGATTACTAAGGAAATTCTATACAGGCCAGAGAGTGGTGGGAGTGTTGGCCTCCCCTTTAATAGTGTGTTAATTGCATTGGGGTGCATTGTAATACAGCAATAACTCTTGCAAATGCTTCATTCTTTACAATGCCAGCACAGATGGGTCAGTTTGAAATAGTTTTTTTTATGTGTACAGTTAACCTGTTTTATTTTTGGCTACACAAATTCAGTGCCCTTTACTCATCCCTACATAAATGTCATATAAGAAAAGATCTCAGGCACGCACTGTGATATGTTTTAAGGCAGTTTTATTGGATCCGCAACATTTCGACCTGTACCTAGGTCTTTATCAAGCTAGCACAAGAGTAACAAGAGAACATTTATATACACACATAATCAGTTAATGTGACATTACAAAATTCATTAGCATAAACAGTGATTTAAAAAAAAAAACAGTAATAGAAAACAGATGATCAGTTAATTTGGTTAATACACTCATTAATTCAGTAAACACGTTCCTTAGAAGACATGGAAAAAAGACCAAGTACATGGCATATATCAGAAACCATAAATAAGGAATAAATAGAATCCACATATTAAAGCAGACATACATAATAACTAATAACCTTTACAGTATTGAATCTCCTTTTGTGATTATTTATTATAGATGAGTTTATTGAGCCATTAGTTTGTGTCCTCCTATCACAAGAAAGTTGTGTTCAAATTGTAGTGACCCTTTTTGTCTGCTTTAATATGTGGAACCCCTGAAACATTTCAGGGGGCAAGTTACATTTCCTCAACATACTGCACATATATGCCCAGTTCAGTCTGTCAAAGGTCTTTTCCACATCTAATGCTAGGAAAATGCCTCTGACTTTCTCCCTCTTCATTGCTGCCATGACATTAAGAATTTTTCTGGAATTATCTGAGCCTTGTCACCCCTTTATAATTTCAGAAAGGTCGTTATGGACCAGTTTAGATAACAGAGGAGCTATTCTATTACTGAGTAGCTTGACATACATTTTTGCATCACAATTTAATAAGGAAATGAGTCTAAAGTTCTTGCCCGTTTTGGGCAAGGTAGAGATATGGGCCATTAATGTTTCGGCTGGCAGGGCTCCTCTCTTAAAACAATGGTTAAGGAATGAATGTAGCTGTGAGGTAAGGGAGTCTGAAAATAGTTGGTAATATTTGTTCGGCAGTCCATCTGGACCTGGAGGTTTATGGGATGGCAAGTTAGAAAGTACCGTTGTGATCTCGTCAAGAGTAAAAGGTTATTTAAGTAAGGTTGCGTCGTCACCAGTCAGAGATGGGAGATCCAGTGTGTGTAGAAACTTCTCTATCTCCTCCGGTAAAGGAGG